CCGACCTATTTCTATAATTCTGCTATACGCACGTTGTAAAGCCAGAATCACCAGATACATATAGAATGAAATTGATTCTGACGTCGAAATTTCAACGTCAATAGTAAAACTGATCAAACAACCCATATTAGATTTCACAGCGAAGCAGAGAGTGTCAGACGTCAAGTGATGATGTCGTATCATACTTGTATTGTTATGACAGATCAACACGAGAGTGACTCTCAGTAACTCTTACCGCAAAATAGCTAAAACACTATGTACGAGATGGCGTGGTGGTGGCAATCAAAGGTCGTTATCAGAACACCTCGGTTCGGCATTATTACGAGTTTCCTGTGGGAGTAGGAAAGTAATATAATTGTTCAGCACGCTGGATACATCCAGACAACGTTTGTAGCGGATAATAATACCTGAATAATTAATCTAATAATCAAATGATAATCCAATATTAACTATATATGACAATAACAACGGAGAAGGGATGTCGTTAGCACGATAGACTAGTTTAACCGCTAAGTAGCATATAGACTAAAGCGTCATTCAACACAAGTCAACATCAGCAGCACAGTCAACAATGCTCTAATACAGCCGATGATTATGAAATAGTAACTTGGTAAAACAAAATCAAACGACACAGCATACGTCACACAAAGTCTGGCACTTGATCCCCACTATATGGTCTATAATTTCCACACAGCCTGTTGTGAGGAAGTACAATGGCATACCACATTAGCGCGACCGAACCGTGCTGCTCGCACTCTCACCTGACAACGATCTGCCGCGACTCTGTCGATCAAAACATGGCGGGCTGTGTGACAGATGAGGCGTTGAACAGGCTTAGATAGGATCTGCAGCCAACAATCTCATTCTCTCGCCATGACAAGTACAAGATGGAATTTTAGATCAAAATTATTAGTCAAGAAGACCGAGACTATATACGTTGATCTATGAGTACTGAATTCGCGTTGAAACGGATATGCACACTCTGCAGTTATTATACCATGAGGTGGTCTCCGTCCTCTCAGTATTTGTATTCTCTTTTGCTGCACGCGCTGAGTCAAACTAGACTTGATCTAGTCTCTTTGTCAATACAGTATTATATTCAAGTCAACTGTATAGGTCATTTTCAGAAAAATTTTTTGGTCAGTTTCATTGGATTACGTTTTTTACGCAAAGAATAATGATTATGCCTGAGATAGGGTTCTGGTGTCATACACGTTACAATAAGACAAAGTTACCCTTCAATATTTCGTAAATTCTATATACAAAGACATATGTCGTGACTTATTTTGTTTCCGAGGTAACCGGTAACGAGGATTAACAGACTGACACGCCTGCGGGACGTGGTTAATGATCTGAGATGCTTATTGTTTATCTGCATAGGAAAGCTCAGTATCCAAAATCGGATAGTTGCATTAGGTGATTGCAATGTACCTCACGGAATGCTGTTGGCGTCGAGACTCGCCAAATGTCCGAATGCAGAAGGTGTACTACGTAAACGGGTTCAACAATGTCAGAAACAAGATCGGCGTCGTAACTGGTCTATAATTTGTTACGTGGCAAGCGACGAGTTGCCAGCAATTGTCATGATAGTGGGAGAAGACAGACGATGCTTCCTACACGAGCACGTCATGGCATGGAATGAGCATAAAACGTAGAATTTCGCACAATATTACAGCCAGCAGCAGCCACCTAGCAGGCATTATGGGCGCTACATTAACGGCATAATATCCTGATATGTGGCAGATCCTAAGACATGATGAAGGGGCGCAAATTGTGCCCTTGGTCAGACATATCCGCCGTTATTTCAGAAGAATTATTCCTTTTGTATTACAAGCAGCTGATTCGGGTAGGATTCGAAGCGAACCTAACCGGAGAACCCCCGGCTGAAGCCATGAATGTGTTATCCTAGGCTAAGTTGGGCGGCAACAACAGAGCCGACTAGAGTAATCTATTATGTAGAGTCATTAGGTGGTAGTCTTCCTATATTGAGCATGTATAATGTATAAGAAGATGATAAGAGCGGTTGAATGAGTGACAAGCGATGCCTAACCCAAATATATACCACTAAGTAAGTACGATGCCACCATACATTTTTTAGCTTTTACGTGAACGACTTACGAGTTTGATGAAAGAACACTCCTGCGACAATCTGAGATATATATGATCCTTGGATCACGGGATACTTCAGCACTTGCCCGATCTAATTGAGAGATATACCGCTTTAGGAGGCACCACATCGAATTTTCTTCGTAATCAATGTTTGGGATTACGGAAACATTAAGATCAAAGATTGCCAGTTCGATGTTATCGGTCACCATAGAGATTCGTTTGCGTAAAACTCGATGCAATTATTTATTTAGCGTTCCTGCTATATTCGTTGATCTGGACTTCACAAACACGCTGGGAGCAATCGGCTTAGAGTAACTGTCCAACAAGTCCATGGTACGGTCCGAATTAGCTCTTGGAGCGGCTTCACGCGCCGCGATGCCTCGTCTCAAGGTCCGACTCTCAAGTTCACTCTAAGATCACTTATTTCATCGGACTTTTAATCATAAATATCACTATATCATACCTTATACGGGTACTATATCGGCAAACTTAAACTGGTCAAGGGCGGGATCACCCGTTTAGGAAAAAAACTGGTAAAAATCAGAATAATGTTACTACTTTATATATTAATATTATATAAATGATAGAATTATATATATTCACTTAACTAAGTATGTGACTAAATGTAAATAAATATTATCATAAAAAGTGGTTTCACTGCTGAATGTGTACATATATATTGTAATGAAATAAAAAAATAGGTATGGGAAATTTCTCAATCGGATCTAAACTCTATTTTTATTTCTCATGTATAACTTGATACTTAAGCACATTAACTATTGGTTATCACTTATGCAATGTAATTCAGTGAGAGCCTGTCAACCGGAATATTCTAAGCGAAGAGATTAACGGACGGCTCCCAAACACCCAACTTCCGCGCTTGATACGTATTAAATTTGTGCCAACCAGTTAAGACTCTAATATAAGAGCCCGGTCAGGGCACAGAGCTATACACGGTATCACTCTACGGGCCTCGTGAGGCTTTGAATAAATGTTTTCTTCACTCGAGATATTGATATCCTACTACCTGGAGACTGCTGTGCTGCATTATAGCTGAATATGACTATTCAAGCCACAATTGCTGAACGAGAATCTATGGAAGAATGCCGGAAGTAGCCACGCCATTGATGGTTGACACTATTAAAGAGCATAGTCAAATTGTTCGCCTGAGATTCACGGACTCCTTGCGTAGCTACTAGAGAGCTCGGAAACAATTCGATCGTTCAAACTTTTTCGTATTCTTGAAAATTGAATATATTCCCTCGGCAGCTGCTACCATCTCGATCGATATAGTTTCAGATAGTATAGTTGTAGTGAGTATGCCTTAAGTCATCTCGGCGAGGCACTGTGTGTTCGTAGCAACGCAGGAGGGAGTGTTATCTGAGTCGTTACTAGAGAGCTTATTCGCAGCTTCTCGGCTAATCGAGTTAGCATC